GAGCAGGGCAGAGACAGGACCTCCCAGAGGAGTCCTGGGTGCTTGTCTCCAGGCTCTGTGCAGACCATGGGGTGGGGGGTTAAGGAGAGGGTTCCAGGTCATGGCAAGTGTGCCCTCGGCTCTGCTTCATGATCCACACAGCTCAGGGGAAACAGCCCCCACTTCCTAATTCCTGCACGGCATGTGGGAGGGGACCCAGTGCAAGCCACCTGCTCTTTTGGCTGAGCCCCAGGGGTGACGCTGAGTCTGGTTATTCTTCCTGAGGTTGGAGGGTGGGAGGTGACTGTCCAGGCCCCTGAGAGGACACAGCTGCTGGGACAGGAGCATGAACAGAGACAGGACACAGGAGCCTGGTGTCCCCACTGAGAACTCAGCATGAACTCGCTTCCCAGGCTGCTCAGGGACCCCGTGTCCCTTCCCACCTCGTCCCCCATAGACCAGCACAGAAGGCAGAGTGTGGGGGCTGGGGAATATCTGAGCACATGTTTGGGGGGTCACTAGGTTCTCTGGAAAGGAGAACAACCTCAGGAGGAGAGAGAAGAGAGTTGGCTGACTTGGGGTTCTCTGAACTAGGGCGTTGGGCAGTTTCAGGATGAGGAAGGAAATCGGGGTGTCCACTTCCAAGGAATGATGTGGATGATGCTGGTGACTGTTCTGATGTGGAGACCTCGGCGATGACAGAGGAGGCTCCAGGGGAGAATGGGGACACAGGAAAGGGACAGAAACCCGGGAATGGAAAAAGACAGTCCAGAATGAGAGATGGGGAAGAGGAGAGGGTGAGGGTGGCCTGCGCTGAGAAGAAAATCTTACAAAATCTAAAAAGGCTAAGAAACTGGGCATGGATTTGAAATTTGGTTGTACTAAAATGAACTTGTACTTGAGTTCGCTTTTTCTCTGCACCTTTTGAAGTCCGCTCATATTTTATTCAGTTCAGGGCCTGAGGCAGGAGAGGAATCAACTCAGAATGGCCCTGCCCCTTCTATGGTGGTCCAGGGTTCCGCTGCCTTGAGAGCTGGCATGTCTGATCACATGTTCTCTGCATGACGAGGGCCCAGGAGGGGCGTGTCCTGCTTCCTCCTCTGACCCTGTCCCTGGCGGAGCCCCACAGTGCAGCCTGCAACATTGCTCAGCCCTGCCCAGTTCTGGGATCCTGGGAGGGTCAGGTTGGTTCTGAGCTGAACATGGTTGCAGCTGGTGCACAAGTGAGGGCACCAGGCAGGGAGAGCTCAGGGGAGGTTTCAGGCTCACTTCCCCATGAGTCTGGAGCACTGTGTAAACATAAGTACCGCTACGATAGGCTACACAGTGGTAGTCGGCCTCGTCCTCAGGCTGCAGCCCAGAGATGTGCAGAACTCCTGCATTGGCCGACGTGTCCTTGGATCCAGAGAAGCGGCTGGGGACCCCGGTGCCCTGGTGTTTACTGGAGTCTGAGTAGTAGTACAGGAGATAGCGGGGACGGCTCCCCGGCTTTTTCCGGGTCCCGGA